GGGGGAGCAAGAGCAGGAGCGGGCAGCCCACAAGAGTAGTAGTAGCACCAGTAGCAGTAGCAGTAGAAGCAGCAGTAGCAGGAGCAGCAGCAGGAGCAGGAGCAGGAGCAGGAGCAGGAGCAGTAGCAGGAGCAGGAGCAGGAGCAGTAGCAGTAGCAGTAGCAGTAGCAGTAGCCGTTGCAGTAGCGGTAGCAGTAGTAGTAGTAGTAGTAGTAGTAGTAGTAATAGTAGTAGTAGTAGTAGTAGTACTAGTACTAGTACTAGTACTAGTAGTATGATTATTCTTATGAGTAGTAGCAGTACTACTAGTAGCACTGCATTGCCATTTTGATTCTTATTGCGACTTGTATCATTATTGTCATGTTTACTGTTGTTCTTATGTCATTGTCATTATCAGTATCTTTAACATTGTTATTATCATCATCATTATTGCTCAGGTGATGATCGCATTGGTATTTTGGTTGCCAGTGCCATTACTATTGCTATTGTATCTATAGCATGTTCAATAATACGATTGTGCTCATTAGCGATACCGTTGATACTCTGTTTGCTGCTGTCATTACTATCAATATTGGTATTGAAAAGGATGCCGTTGATACTCTTGTTGCTGCCGTCATTCCTATCACTATTGCTATTGTTATTGCTATTGCTACTCTATCTGCTCAACAAATGCAGGAAGGCCTCTGCTCCGATGCATGTAATGGTAAGTTTGAGTCTTGACTCGACTTTTCTACATCTGGAAACAATGGTAATAGCGTCGCGACATGTGACAAGCTGCCAGGGACGGAACTGGAATCAACGATGTGATTTCACACACACACACACACACAGACACACAACCTTTCGCAGGGTGCTGTCACGTAGCTTGTAGGAAACGATCATGCTTTCTACATGGAAGGCGGACTAATATTGTGTAACTAGATAAGCAGAACAAGCTTCGTAATCATTTAGAACAAGACCTTTGGGGCACAGTAGACTGCAACAAGATGCAGAAGACAGGGAAACTTTTGAGCAGCGACCATTCAGGCTGCTGCAGGATGTAGCTACTACGTACGATACGTTTTCCTGAGGAGTGCACCCATTGCTCGTAGATGAAGACCACACCGGCCGAATCCTGAAGGCAATCTATTGCTGAGTCTGGGAACCTATGACCTACGTACTCCATGACCGCGTCCGAAATTAAACCTCCTTGAATGCTGATGCCTCTGCCCAACGCTCAAACCGCCCCAAGACAGCTTCCAAACCAAAGGAAAGGAGACGGCGGTAATGTGGAGGCCCGAAGAGATCAGCGTGCCTCTTTAATGCGTTTTTTTCCTTCTTCAAGCCGGGTACCAAAAAATTGGATGTCCTAATTCATCAACACTTCCCTTCTAGTAACGGTCAATCTTAAAGCAGCCACGACCTAAAACCCCCCTCCAAACCCCAAAACCCTGGCCCTGAAGTCCGAAACTCTCCCTAAACCCGACACCCCGCATAAGACTAAATTGCCTAAACTTTAAACCCTCAAACCTCAACCCTAAACCCTCGAGCCCTATCCATACTGTGCTACTACTGTACTACTACTCTACTAGTAGTAGTACTACTACTGTACCACTATACGGTAATGCTATTGTACTACTACACTACTACCGTACTACCGTACTACTGTACTACTGTACTGCTACCGTACTACTAGCGTACTACTGCACTACTACTGTACTACTACTGCACTACTGCACAGTTCCAGGCCTCAGATTTCGTCGATAGTGGAGAGGAGTGCAGGCTGGAAGGATTCAGTCTTCAAAGTGAAAGGTTTTTTGGTGGTGGTAGTTATGATCGGGGCTTGCTTTCGAGCTTCTGGTTATCCCGACCCCGACCCGGGCATCCGCGGAGCACCGCAGACCCTCCACCCAAGCCAGCCCAGAAACTCTGGGATTCCCCAGTTCCCTTCTTACTGTAACTTAGTCAAAGCCGCCACCCACAAAACCTGGGATCCCCAATTCCCTTCTAACTTAGTCAACGCCACCTAGATCCCAAGCCAACCCAAGAGCCCCTATCTAGGCCCATCTCCCGAACGTTGGTCCAACGGGCCACGAAGCCGAACCCTTTTGGTTAGGGGGGGCGGGGGGAGTTGATTAAGCCTCCACATTCATGCGAACAACCTCAGACTAACACACCACAGAGATGGAGGTCCGATCAGCCCAATCCACACCGCAAGGTGCTAAGATGTGGCATGCCCCCGGTAAGCCGTCACAACTCCAACTTCAAAAAAAATCAAGTAAGCAAAACCCTGATCGTAAAGACCTCTTTGCTTTGCATATACTTGACTGTATATGCAACGAAGAAATCAGCCAAATTATTGTCCCCAAGCATCTCAACCCCGTACTCGATGCAGCCGAGGTCGCCCAATATGTTTTCTTGGCGTTAACACCCCGATGTAGCTCCTCCTGCATGCACGCACTGAATGCACTTAGTTCTCTGCCGGTCTCACCGACGTACAACTTTACATAGCAGGATCGAACCTTGAAAACGACCGTCCCGCTCACGAAATGCTGCCAGTCACTTGGTCGGCCTTTGGGTACCAAGCTTCAAAGTCCGGATTGAAAGACTCTGGCAGTTTCAAAGGACTTTCTGGGCTCCCTTGCGAGAGGCGTTCGGACATCATCTGGTTCAGGATTTATGGTAACACAGAACCTTTGCAATGAAGGATCCGAGTTAGTCTTCTCAATACATGTTGAGCAGACAGACTGCTGTCTGCCGGACTCCTGCAGCTCGTGAGTGGCACAATGTCGTTGCCAGCTGCGGTAGTCCAGGCACTTGGCAAAAATTACGCCTCCCGAAGACAATGCAAACGATCGCATTAGGGAGGAGTTGCGAACTTCGGAGTTGCAAGGAATGGCTTTGTGGGGTCTACAGCGGGTATGCCAAGCGAACACAAAATTAGGCAAACCCGAATAGCTGCCCAGCACCCAGAGGCCAGGACCACGAGGTTCTCAGCTTTCAATGCCCCCAAGTAGAAAGGCATGAGGTGGTCGCAAATTAGCAGAGCTGTCAAGGGACAGACGAACAGGCACTAATTTGGTAGCCAAGCGCTTGGCACCAGGCACAAGCTTTGCTTGAACATGCTGCAAAAAGGCCCGGCCGTAAGTGCGGAGCACGTCAACCCAAAAAGCCAGTCTTCCCATGCGTCATGTAATTTCTATCAACGCGCTGAAGAAGAGTGCTGTGGTTGTTTGAACTCAAGGTGGAGAAGAAGGGCCCAACGGCTTGGAAGCACCATCCTTGTCATGAGTTCCTGAACCCAAACTAAAAAAATGCAATCCACAAGCCCTAAACCCCACACTGACCCCAAGGCCCTAAACTCTAAACTCTCTAAACCCGAGCCCAGAACCGCCAACCCTGAACCCAGGCCAATAATACAAGTACCAACTTGCAGCTGCTGGCTCCGCGAAGACTGAGTTTGGATGGCACAAGTCTGAAAGGAGGCCCAGGGTTTAGGCGAAACCCCAAACCCTAAACCCTAACTAAACCCAAAAAGCCCTAAATCCAAAACCCTGAAGCCTAAACCGTCAGGGGTATAGAGTCTGGGCCCCAGAAGCATCAACTCCGGCCGCCCCTCTTTGCCTGCCAGGAGCAAGGCCAAGATGGCGAAGAAAATAATGCTTGGCACTTGCATGGCCCAGTCCCCGGAGGTGACCAAAGAAGCAGCTGCTTCACCTCGCACGCTCTTTTAAATGTTATTTTGGGGTTCGGGGTTTAGGGTGCAGGAATGGGCGTTGTGCTTTGATTTGGGGCTCGGAATGTATGAGAGGCCGAGTGCAGAGACCCCGCAGCGGACACATAATTATCAGTGAGTTTCAAGGCGGCTGCGGCACGCGAACAAATACGGGTGACTCCTTGGCGCACCTCCTTGCGTACATGCGGAGGCGCAGACGCAGCTTGCCGTGTGCCAAGACTTGCAGGTGCCGCATCTGGAATTCTCCCCAGTTCACTTTCCCTCCCTCTGTGGTTGAGCTCTGCTAACTGCTGCATTCCAGGCAGGAGGAATCGCTCGTGCAACTCCTCCCCCTGACAGTTACACCAGAGCCCTTGTGCTACGCACTCACGAAAACGGCCAGCGTCATGGAGTTCGGGGTACTGCACAGTCTGAAGGAACTGCCAACAAATGGCAGTTTTCAACCAGTGCTACCTCCGGAACCTGCACTTGGCGTACACTAAGCGTCTTGAGTCAGCCCAAGCTGCGTGAGAACAAGAGCAATGCATTGTTGCACTGAAAGCTCAGGGCCATTTCGGTCAGGAACCCCTCGATGCCCTCGGTCACAAGGCGAGTGCACACAAAAACTATGCACGCTATAGCGCAAACGTGCACATAAGCGAGGTTTCCTCACGTCCGACCTTTCTGGCTTGTGCTAGCCATGGCATTGCTACTGCTCACCTCTGTTGCCGCGCCGCTATAGGCTCAGGCCTGCCTCTCGCAAAACAGCAATCATGTAAATAAACGCTTGAAGTGTCGTAAACCTACACCTACACGTCGAAATCGGAATAAACACATTCCCGTTCATTGGCATTGATGCAGGCCCTTCCTTCCATCCTGTCATCCAAGCTGCAGCGAAAATGGAGAGGTGCGTCGTTTCACAAACAAGCTCCCGACCTGTGCCAGATCCACACACAGCATGTCGGACAGTAGCACAATAAACCAAAAGCTTGGGATTAAGCAAACCTGCCTATAAGAGTTAACTCAAACCTTGCCTGGCCCTACTACCCTTATCACGATGCTGAGAGGGCGACGGCTGCTCGGGGAAACATTCCGAATCGTTCTCGCAACCAGAGTCCATTAAACACCTCTTGCACCTCCGCCCCGCTAGAAAGAAGGACTACACGGAACCCTAAATCCTAAAGCTGAAACCCGAAACCCTTTCTCGGTGAATTCCTTGGTTCGAATTTCCGCCTCTGCCCTGCACGCGGGTAACACCTTCAGCAGACCACCGCTGCAAGGTCTCGTTCCAGAAAACACAGGTCGTGTCGTTGGAGGCATCCGGACTCGGCAAAGCGCGGGCAGAGGGTCTGATGGGCTTAGGTGGCTGGCAGCTGGGGTATGGGGTGTAGGCCTTATGGATTAGGGTTTAGGATTGTACTCCTGTTCTACTTGGAGTGCATGCCTAGGGACTGTCATCCGTGGTACGGTCATGCTCTGACTAGCACTTTTGCAGAAGCATGGGCAAAAGCTTTCGTGGCTCCAAACAACAAGCCGCAAGCTTCCAACAAAGCCCAAAAAAACAAGCATGGAACAAGCAATGATTCAAAACTCCGCGTACCTGGCCAGGGAGACTAAGAGAATGCGTAGGTTGTGATGGAAGCCTGTAGAACTACCAATGTTATTCCTGAGGGTGGCTTAATATAGTGAAGGCTGCCAGCAGATTCTGAGCTTGCCATGCGTATTTTCCTTGTTGGCTTCAGCCTCGCATCGTGCGCTGCTCAAGGACCTCCCATTGATGGCTTAAAGTAGCAGAAGATTTGTGCAGCAATGATAGTAAAATATTAGAAGTACACAAGACATATTATAGCAAATATAGTGTGCTTCAACATGAGCTTTGCTTTTGCCCTAGGCGCAACTTGAATCTAAATCGGGATGACACTTGGAAATGCTGATAGCTTAGTTGTGGATCTGCGTTGCTGGCTTGCGTGGGGGTTTGGTTGAAATCGTAGTGCCACTGCCCAGACTGGATTCGAAATGAATCGACGCCGATTCAGCTTGTGAGCCCTTCACGCGCAACTAAGAAAGAAGCAAGCGAGATCTGCAATATGTCGTTGGACCTCAAGTACAATCCCGATTGCCGGCAGGCTGCGCGAGTGTCAGCTGTAACGGCTCTGGAAGTGAAGCGGCCACCAGCGGCATCCCCTCCGCATTAAACCTTTGCACCACTTAACGAGCTCAGCTTGCAGACTACAGTAGCGTTTCCATCAAAAGGGAGTGAAACTAAACCCTAAACCCTAAACCCCATGAAATCCGAAAATCGGTCGCTGAAAAGCATTGTTGAGCATCCTTGGGCCTCACACCGAACCCGAAAAATCGCCCGCTAAACCTCATAGTTACGGTTACTGTGGTAACACTGCACGCAGAACTGGGCCATCTGCAAAATTTATAGGTACAAGCACATGTCAACTACTACGCTGGTGATTGGATCATGCGCGCCCTCGGCTTTGAAGCACTCTTCAGACTCGCAGTTGCTTGGATGCTGTGGGGGCACATGGACAAGACCAATGGCCTAGTGCTTGGTGGCTTGTCGGCCATCTGGAGCTTGTCAGCACCGCCTCGCTTCCAGAAGCCCACGAAAACCGACTTGTGACTTGGAGACTGTCGGGGCTCGGGCTCCATGCTGCACTCAGAGCTTTGTGGAGGCATACCCTTCTATGAGTGATCACGCCACGGCACACAAAGAAACAAAAGCTAACAAACTTGTACAAGCAGACTACCAAGAAGACCTGTTCATGCGGAATCGCACATGTCTAACATAAACCCGCACATACAAGTGTGCGAAACCGGAGGCTCGGACAAGCACGGGAAAAGCCAGACAAGATCCCCTAACCAAACCCGAAAACCCTGAACCCTAAGTCGATGATCCAAGCATGCAGCCGGCACTACACAACCGCCACAAAACCAGGAGCTTCGAATCTGGAATGCAAGCAAGACTGAAAACCTGAGCGGCGGGTCAGCCACCTCGGAAAGACTGTCTATCGAGACAGTGCGCAACTTGAGGTTGTTAGAACAAAGTGCTTTCGGGTTTATGCTTGGGAACGGGAGTGGCTAGAAGAATGATTCTCGAAGCACTCTGTATTCTAACTCCCAGCAATTCACATAAACAAATACTAAAAGCAAAACACACACAAGAAAGACTTCGGATAGGAATGTCTCGGAAAAAGTCCCCAATAAGGTACGGCACCCTTATAAAAAAAAAACACCCTACAAGGGGCCCTAAGAGAGAACTACCCATATGCACAGCGGTTGTTTAACTGTCCAGCGCTTCACTAGTTGGCTGCACGTCGGTTCAAGGGCCATGAAATCCATGTGATACCATGAAGCCTAAGCCCTACTAGGATTTCGTGGTGATGATAGCATATTCCTGCTTTGAGGGTGTCTTTTTGCACATGAATTTTCCTGGAATACAGACTTTCTATGGGCTTGAGTTGTTTTGTTCTTCGTTCTTAGGCCAGTTTTGATGGCCACCAAATGTACGAAGCGTTACAGTAACAGTACACTGCTAGCCAACACGCAAAGACACCTTGTGCAAGAATGACCCCCGCCCCGCATCTTTCCTTCCGGGAACACAGCCGCAGGCCTTGGTTCATCGTGTTCACGGCGAGCATCAGCGGCTCAGCGGAAATGCCGGCGACCAGTGAAAGGGGAATCTCCACAGCCGGCATGAAATCTGCAGGCAATGCACTCGCTACCCATAGGCTCCATTGTAGTTCCTTTTTGGGTTTACCTTATAGGATTCTAAATATAAACCACAAAAAGGAACTACTATGGAGCCTATGGGTACATCAGCATGCTTCATTCTATCTTTCTTTTCAAGCCAAGCCAGATGGAATGCACATTGCGCACTACACACTACGCTCTATTGAATCATTTACATTGGGAAGCAAACGAAAGAGCGACGAACCCTTCGGGTAGTGACTGCTGAGTCAGCTGGCGCATCCGAGGACACTTCCCAAATAGACGGCTTAGAGCAGACGTACACAAAACCCTAAACCCTTCGATAGGGCCATAGCTCCCTGTCCGAAGAAGAATGCGAGCCGATATGCACCACAGGTATTGCTATTGTTGTTGTTATTGTTATGCGAATGTGAGCAGCCGAAGCACCGTTCTCCTTATTCAAGTATGTATGGGTGTTCGTCAACTAGTCGTACCGTTTTGAAAGACCATGGAGAACCTTAGACCTTAAAACCTACCGTGGCTTTGAGAATCCTTGAAGTAGCAAACTCTGCACCCTGAACCCTAAACCCTGAACTATTACCTCCTCCTTCCGTGTCGCGGTCGGTCGAAATGAACAGATGAACCTGAAGATCCCGCCGTTGAGCTCGGAGGCGGAGGTCCAACCCCGTGATACTCTATCAAACGACTATTGCTCCGCTTGCGCGGCTTCTCCCAAATTACGATACGGAGTGCTGAGTTTCTGTGTGCTGGTGATAACAATCCCGGCCACCTGCGGCCTTATCAAGCCTTCCGCACGTTTCAACACATCTCAGCCTCGGCCGCTTGACGCAGCACGGAAGCGGAAGGACGAGGCATTCGCCCGAGGGGAGATCGCGGCAACCGTCACGCTGCCTTTTGGCCAGTGCGTTAAAGGATCTGACAAGGACAACCGGTAAAAGATCGCGGTGAAGTGCCTTCGTCAACCGTAAAGCCACCGACTTTCTCAAGCTTTTCCAAATCCAACTTTGGCCTCAGGTGCAACGACTATGAAGTAATGTTGGATTGATTTTAATAAACCGGGTGGAGTTAAAGAAACCTCCCGTCCCAGAAATTTCCGGATATGCTTGAGTTTTGATTGCGCAAAGATATAAGCCCGAAATGGCGAAAACAATTTATCTTTGACGTGGGGGTGGAATTAGTTTAAAGGGTGGAGTTAAAAAACTCCGGGTCCAAAATCCCTGAAAAAAAGTAGGTGCTTTGCAAGGAAACTGAGACAAAACGAACATGACCCTAAACACAGCCAGCAGAGTGCAGATCCGCAGACACGACACTGAACTACCGGCTCACAGACTGCAGTTCCAGACAGTTTTTACTCCACTCTTCGTCAAGCAGAGCAGATCGGGGGTTCCCGGAAGCAACGCTTTCTTGAGAAGGCTACTTAGAGAGCAAAAGCAGGTGGGCCTCGAGACAGAGGCTCTGCTGTTTGAAGGCTGCAGGCTTTGCCCTCAAGCCAGGGACTCCGGAATCCAGGAACTGCAGCAGCT